ACCTTTGTGGTATCACTAAAGAGCCTTAGACTAATGCAGCAAGGATGTACTTTTTAAAGAAAGTCAAACAGCCAAAACAGAGCTTCTAAAAAATGCAGTGCTTACAAGTCCCCCGTGTCAAACAGGGCAGAAGTCCTTGTCAGCAAGAGGACAGGACAAACACCTACATTTCTTCCTGAAACACCCCCAGAGTCCTTCCCTCTGCTTGACACCACCTACTCCAGGCTCTCCTTGTTTCTCTTCCCTACTTGAATTTAAACAAACAAGCTCTGTCTGTGCACTGTCTTTGGCTGCAACTCCAGAACAAGCCACGGATAAAAAGCAATGCCTGGACCAACTGATGTGTGCTGACCGGCTCAGACAACCACATCTCTCTTCACCCTCATGACAGCATGGACACAAGGCATGGGCAGTCATCATAAAAATATTATGAAAGACTCTCCCATTTTTAGCACCTTGATTTTGCTTTGGCCTCTGGTTGTGTCAGACCCCAGGTGTACAGTCTGTGCCATTTCATGAGCTATAAGCTAACACCTCTCTCTGCCACGTAAGCACAAACACAGGAACCTGGGCCTGGGGTTGCTTTGTGGATGCAGGGAGCAGGGCTGAGGATTGGGACAGGTTTTAACCTGACCCCTACCTGGGCTGCCCACTGATGATCAAGACATCGTCTCCATGTCCCCTCCTGATCCTGCCATGTCCACAGCTGGTAGGGAGGAAGGGCTTCATCACCAGTGACAAATGCGCTTCCTCACCTTTATGGGCTCCTTTCAGAGACCTGTGGAATGACACCATCACCAAAATAAGCCAAAGTGACTCAGATGGGTGGTTAACTCTCCACGGGTACTACAACCCAGGAGTAGGATGCAGTAAAATCAAGAAGGATGGGAAACTCTTGTGCCTTGAGAGGTGAGGACTGATATGTGGGAGCTTCCTCACCTGCTGATGCCACCTGGCCAGAGGTGCTGTGGCTCTGTGACCAGAGGGTGGATGTGCAATGGTGACAGCAGCAGCAAGAAGAGGCCAAGGAGAATGGAAAGAGGGCAGACAGAAAGTCAAGAAGGCAGCAGGTCTGGTGGCTCTGAGAGCTGGGGGAGGAGGAAGTTGGGAAAGACTGTAGCTCCAGCACGAAAGATTCTCACTTTCTGGTGATTTCAGCAGGCTCAGGACCCAAATTTGCCACAGAGCATCAACAACAGCCAGCACAGTGTGGACACAGGTGCCTGCCAGCCCTTGTCCTCCTGGCACTGCAGCTCCTGCTGTGGTGGAGGTAACACCCTGATGGTTTTGAGCGTCTAGTGGCAAACGCTAGGCTACACCAGCCAAGGAACAACAGGTCATGAAAGCCCCTAGCCAAATCTGCCCAGACATGCCGGTCTAAGTTTTGTACCAAATGTTCTGAGCTTTAACACGTGTTAGCATCTCTTCTTCCTAATAGCTTTCCCTCGTGTTTCTTCTCTTCCAGCACTGAATGTGTGATTCAGTCATGCATTAACCTTTGTATCTGATTCCTGATCTGCTGTTAAAATCTATGTTAATTCCTTAGAATCTCACAATTTTTTCCCCAAGCAAATTCTGAGTAGTTCTGGGATTCCTGTACCCACAGACGCAGTAGGTAGCTAACCTGGTCTGCTCTCCAACAGCTCAGCCTGCATGAATGGTCTAATTAACACCTCATCAAACTCAACTGTTGGTTGTGTCTGGAGAAATTCCCTCTTGCACCTGTGCATTCACAAGGCACCATTTCTAGCCTCCTGCACAGCAAGCCCCAGCCATTGGAGCAATGCTCCATCACTGCAGAGCCCATCCTTACATCAGCAGTAGAGGTCCTGGTCCAGTCTCCAGGACTTGCCAGCCCGGAGTGACACTGATGTGCTCTGTGGCTGCTCCAGGCCATTGAACCGTGCAGGGTGGTGCAAGAGCTCAGGAGCAATAACTCAGCAGTGAAGGGTCTGCAAATCCCATGCTGCTGAGTTTGAGGCACGGCTTCTCCCCTCACCATATCCTACCTCCATCATCAGAAAGTGCATAGGTTTCACCCAGCACAGCTCACTGTCACCTGCCTAAGGACAGCCTTTGCAGTGGGACAGCATACACACACCCCTACAGGCTGCAAACCTTCAGGTGCCTGATCTGCGGTCATGATCTAGCTTGTCTAGCATACCCCAGAGAAAGGTAGCACCCCAGGAGGGGTTCAGTCCCACCCTGTCCTGGAGGACAGGCCCTAGGATTGGGTCAGAATGGCCCTAGAGGTGTCCATCTCCCATCATTGAGACAGACAGAGCCTGGTGCACAGCAGAGAGCAATGCCCAATTCATGTTGACACTGCCATTACTGCAGGACAAGGTTTAAACATAAAGAATAAGTTTAGCTTGGCTGCTTGAGATAACAGTTAAACAATAGACTACAACGTTTGGAATACAGAGCACGCAACAGGAAAATGTAATTTTAGGTAATACTTCACAATGAGACTGAGTGTTTCAAGACCTCAGGTAACTCTAGAGGCTCTCCCTAGAGAACATCTAATGCCAGCTTCTACTGTTGGAGCTTACTCCCTGGGTGTCTCTGAGCTCTCCTCTCCCGCTTCAGCTCATTTCCATTATTTCCTCCACCAAAACCCACTTCCTCACTTTGTGAAACAGGGTACCGCTTGTCTGGCAGACTAACCTACCCATCCTGTCTTCTGCTCTGGGGTTTCTCATCTCTCCCCTCCACCCTCACTTAACACTTGAGTCATAATCTTCCACTTGGTATATCTCTTTCTACCTGGTTGACTTCTGCTGTTCATCACATTTTTTAAAATAAGAGAAAAACTTTGCAGATTTTGCATCATCAGGACTATTAACTGCACACACTTTATTCGCTCTGGAGCCTTCATGCTACTGTGAGCACTACGTAGACCACTCGTGGTGGTCCAGCAAGGCAGACAGCAGGCTTGCCATTGAGAGCACCTTCCTACGTTCCTTCTCCTCTCTTGAAGTGCTTGCTCACTGTACGGGGCTCATTCAGGATCCCGAGAGGCATGTCCTGGCCGTGACAGCCCCAGGCGCTTGCTGAGCCACCTCCCATTGACCAGTTCTGCGATGCTCCTGCAGAAGGCAGAGCTCTCGGTAGCACTAACAGAGAGTACTGAAGAGACCTCGGGGAGCTGCTAGGAATAAAGCTCATGCTGTCAAGCAGCTTAGGCACTAGAGTTTATTTGTTTGTCCTTTTGTAACTCCATTTCAAACACTGCAAATGAGCATTTAGCCCTTTGTCTTTATGTAATCAGACTTGTTCCTCCTCTTGACGCCCTGCCTGGTAACAATGGGGTCTTTATATGGAAAGGCAAGCTGCTTTTTTCTCGTGGGACCCCATGGGCTGTAAGGCCACGCAGGCACATGCTGCTCACCATGAGCTGCAGACACCAGGGTTTGGAGCGCAGGACACAAGGTTTCTCCATGGGAGAGAGAAATCACTTTGAGTGCCTGTGGACCAGTGTTACCCTGGCAGGCAGGGATGGCAGCAGAGAAACAGTACATAGCTTGGAGAGAAGGCATGCTCGTTACAGCTCTTTTACACCAGCGTGAGGGTCTGGAGAGCCCCCACCATCCCATCACCAGGGCTGTTCAAACCCTAGCTCTTACCTTCCTTCCCTTTCATTTGAGATGGTGTTTCTGCCATCTTCTCCATCAGATTATACGCTACAGACTCACTCCCAGGGTTGCTGTCAGTCAAAGATCAGATCCAGCAGCACAGAGCCACCGGACCACCCTGACCGTGCGACTTGGCTCTTCCAACCCCTCCTCTCTGGGACCCGGCTGCGATGCATGAAGGGCAAACACAGCAGTAGGACTTCCCTTTCTCTAAGAGCTTCTTGGCTCTCATCCCTGCTCTTTTCCTTACTCAGCCCGCTCCTCCTGGCGCTAATAGATTTCCTGCTGATCAAGGCTAC